TGCTTCAAATGTTTATTGTGATTGTGAGTTCAACAGTCCATCTATGACAGGAGTTCTCAACTGGGCTAGGCCTATATCGCAGTAGGGGCAAAAATGATTCATTGAATAAAATTGAATACATTTGACACGATCTTGGCATTACCTTACAGACTTGTGAATGCTTTATATCTCAGTAGGAATAACTCGGGAGATGGCTCGGTTACAATTTATTACTTTTTGTTGAATTTAACTTCACCTGTGAATCGGGTATTAGTTTATAAAGCAAGCACCGCATCAATGAATTTAAGAAGGCTCTAAATATCAGCTTACCAAGGATAAAGCCCTGTCCAGACTATTAAATTTTGTTTGACATAAAATTGTGACACATGTTGACCATATATAGGTAAATCATGACCATATATAGGTAAATCATAACTATATATGAGCATGCATCATATTTTTGTCAAAGAATATTTGGTAGTCTGGACAGAGCTTAAGCTGGAAGAACACTCTTTAAATATTGTAATAAACAACAATTCATTTATATGATATGCCATCTACAGTAATAACATGGATAAATTCTTATAAATATGACTTATAAATTTGAAATGGTTTAATGATTGGTAGCTTCCAAAAGATACTTTTTTTCAGTGTACAGTTTTTAATTTATGAATATTGTTTGCAGAGGTGGACAGAAACATATGTGCGCTGGTCACCCCAGGGTACCTACCTGACCACCTTTCATCAGAAAGGAATTGCATTATGGGGTGGAGAGAAATTCCAACAAATCCAGAGGTTTGCCCACACAGGTGTTCAACTGATTGACTTCTCACCATGTGAAAGGTAGGCAACATGTCAAACATGTGTTTCAAAATACATTTATAAATTGCCGGCGGTGCTGCAGAATTTTACTTTAAAATTTGTCTGTACTATCAAATTAAATAGAAATGTAATTCACAGTGAACTGAAAAAAAAATAAATTCCCATTCATCAACAATCTACACATAAAAAATATAACTTATTTGTCAACCAATTATTTCCTTGTATTCTAGGTACTTGGTCAGCTTTAGTCCAATGATGGACTCGAAAGATGACCCAAAGGCAATTATCATTTGGGATGTTTGGACAGGTGCCAAGAAACGTGGATTTCACTGTATGACTGCTTCACAATGGCCTGTGTTTAAGTAAGTATTTATTTACTTACGGAGTTTTCGATTGTGCAACGGTGTTTCAGCCATTTCTTTGTGATTTAATTACATTGTGAAATAAAGGTGTCGCAAATTTGAAAGCTCCCTAATAAATTTTTTTATTCTAAACAATAATGTTGTTTTTTACATAATTTGATTTTTCTTAAACCAGAACATAGTTGTTAACGAGTTGTTGATATTGTGTTACATTCATTATTAATAGTAGCTAAATTGTCATTAATTTTATTTCTCTTTGTTGCCAGGTGGAGTCATGATGGAAAGTATTTTGCTAGAATTGGTGAAGATAGTTTGAGTGTTTATGAAACACCATCATTTGGACTCTTGGACAAGAAAAGTTTTAAATGTATTGGTATAAAGTAAGTTTGAGGATTTATAGTGAACCACATACATTTGTATGAAAATGTAACTGATAAAATCTGTTATAACTATGATACTAGTAGAAAAGGCACATGTAATGATTATAAGGACAATTGAAAATTATTGACCTACAGTAAAGGAACCAGTAATGTGTGTGTGTGTGTGTGTGTGTATGTATGTATGTATGTATGTATGTATGTATGTATGTATATATGTATATATTTATATATATATATGTATATATTTACATACATATATATATATACAGGATCGTGTTGGTAGACCGCAAAGTAACTTAATGAATCAATTGCAGGTAGATGTAAGAAAACGACATCTTTGTCTGAATAGTTATGAAGATCTTATGTATCTTAAAGAAATTGCTAATGATAAAGATTCATGGGCGAAATTGTTTCAAACATGTATGAATTGATATCGCAGCGTGTAGTAACTAGTCGCAAGACTTTACCAGAAAATGTATATTGTTATACCTGTCTCTTATACACATCTAGATGTGTATAAGAGACAGATACTAAGCTCAAAAGCAAGTGAAGATTATTTTAGTGTAATTAGTTGTGATAAGTTTTATATCAAACTGTAGTATATAAAGATAAAGCCATATAATGCCAAACTATTTAAAATTAATTAATTATATATATATATATATATGTGTGTGTATGTGTATATAAATGTATATATGTATATGTAGGGCTGCAGTGTGTGAATTAAATTATTGAATGTAAAAGGTCATCCTAAGGGTCATTTGTCCGAAATAAATTTTACTGTAATTGCTTTATAACTCAACATCTTTGGTATCTCCTAAGCATGGTTAGGCCCAAGGCACATTTGTGTTCCCTGCCAATGTTATATTAAGGTTAGGTTAGTCTAGGCCTTTGGTTAGCCTGTGCTTAATTTTTTTCTCAAAATATGCCTCAAATACTAATACTAGTAAAAGTAGCCATAATGAAAATAATGAAATATTACTAAATTCTTCATTTTAGGGACTTCTGTTGGTCACCGGCAGATAACATAATTTCGTATTGGGTTCCTGAGCAAGGGGAGAGTCCTGCACGTGTCACACTTCTAGAGATTCCATCACGTAAGGAGCTGCGTGTAAAGAATCTGTTCAGCGTAGCCGAGTGTAAGTTGCACTGGCAGAAGGCAGGCGACTACCTTGGCGTTAAGGTAGACAGACTGACCAAAAGCAAAAAAGGTCAATACTACAGCTTTGAAATCTTTCGAATACGAGAGAAACAAATTCCAGTTGATGTTGTTGAGATAAAAGACCAGATTGGTGCCTTCGCATGGGAGCCTGTTGGATCTCGTTTTGCTGTACTCCACGGCGAGTCACCAAGAATAAGTGCTAGCTTCTACAATGTCAAACCGCACAGTAAAATTGAGTTGATTAGTGAGTTGAAATTTACTGTTCTATTTTCTTAACATTAAAACAATACAACAACATATCAGATCTTCATGAATAATATATATATATATATATATATATATATATATATAAAGTTGATAAAATTCACAATTATGTACTCTACAATGAACATAATAGACTGAATGAGAATTTATATAGAATAGAGATAAGCAATAAAGTATAAATTACAATTGAAATGTTAGAGTTAAGCATATTTTCAAGAATATCTATATTTTACTGTATATTATTATTTTTTAAATATTTAGCAACACTAGAAAAGAAGCAAGCTAATGCGTTGTTTTGGGCTCCAAATGGACAGTTTATAGTTCTCGCAGGATTGAGGTCGTAAGTATTATGCAGTTACAAGGCAGATTTTGGTCATTTATACTGTAGTAATCATATATTTGCATCAATCTTAGTTGTTAATTATTGGACACATAAACAGTTACACACCATATGCAACCTCTTAGCCAATGGAGGTGCCAGCAGGGAGAGGTAAGTAAGTCCCAGTAGGACAGCTTAATCCCTGGTTGGCCACAACTTTTTGGGGTATAAATTTGTTTCAGACCAAAGAAAACTATACCATACCAAACATTACAATAAATGTGAATCTCTTTGCTACAGGATGAATGGTGCATTGGAGTTCCTAGATGCCAATGACATGACAATTATGAATAGTGCGGAACATTTCATGGCAACTGACGTAGAGTGGGATCCGACAGGACGCTACATAGCAACAGGAGTTAGTTGGTGGAGCCACAAGGTAGAATTCTATATTTTTTTTAAAATGAATTTTAAAATATACAAATTAAGTAATTCAGATATTAAATTTTATTTTTGGTCGTGATTTTTAACTCATTAAACATGCAACTTGGATGATTGCTCACATTGCAATTTAAAATGTCTAATGTGTTATTTTTAGGTTGACAATGCTTACTGGATGTGGTCGTTCCAAGGCAAAGTACTTCAAAAGTGCACTACAGATCGCTTCTGTCAATTACTATGGCGGCCACGCCCACCTTCTATTCTCACTGAGGAGCAAATCAAGGTAATATATTTGCATACAATCTGTTTAGTTCTGTTTGTAATATTTTCATTTAAATGGCTTTATGCGCATCACAAAATAAAATTAGATTTTAAAAAATAAACAAACAGCATGGCTTACCATAACTATTACGTAAATTAAATATGGTTGATATTGACTCAGAGGAACTTATTTACCCTTTGTTCGGCTATTGAATGTCTTGCTGGTGAGTGACTGTAACACCCTCAACTTAGCAGCCACTAAAGTTTTAGACACTGAAATTATCTCCACTCTGTAAGTCCTTGATGACATGACACTGTCTACTGATTGTCAGTGGCAGTTTGAGCAGAACGTCATTGAAAGCAATCTGTAGCGTGTGCCTCGTCCATGGAATCACATTATCCTGCATCAGCACAGTGTGTCAGGCAGGTCAAGTCCCCCCATCGGCAGCCAAAAAAAAAAAAAAAGAAAAAAAGGTCTACGCCAAGCCAACAGATAGCCATAAATGACACTCTCAGACTCAGAGGTCCCTACTTAAAAAAAAATAATAATTCGGGAGGGCATCGAGCACATACGGCCGTCGGATGGTGCTACGTGCCAAAGTTATCCTTATCTCACTCACCCCCTCCCCCAAAAAATGAAATTATATCATACATCTCCCACTGGTGTCATACTGTGCTGATACTTTACTCGCATGTTAGTTTAGCGACCAGATGGAGTTTAGTGTCATACACACAGCCACTTAACTAGCTTATATTACACTTCGACTACTGTTGCTAAAACTGTTCCCCGCCAGACACCAACCCGGTATTTCTGGGTTTCGGTGCCTTGTCATTGAGAACTAGCAATCATACAACATGAGCAAATTTTTTTCATTTTTGAAAATGATTGTCATTATTTCAGGATTTGAAGAAAAATATGAAAACGTACAGTAAACGGTATGAATTGAAGGATAGAATGAGCCAATCAAAGGCATCCAAGGTAAGTAATTGCTGTCAGCATAAAGTTGCCTCCCAAAACATTGGTGGAATCACTCTGCTGTGTTTAGTTGCAAATTTAATAAAACGTGTGTTGTCACTCAAATCCATTTAATGTGTTTTCAAAAGAGAAATGTTAATTTTTGTATTTACATCATTATTCTTTTCATCATGATCATGGAAATTGCCATTCAAATTAACAATTACAGGATTACCATTTTTTAAAGTGAATTGTCAGATATTAGTTCCAAAATAATATAACACATTGCAGTTTGTAAAAGTTATACTAATTCTTTTTGTTTAGGAAATCATTGAGAGACGTCGAGCGTTAATGGAAGAATTTGAGAGTTTCAAGAGGCAAAAAGAGGAACAGCTTGCTGCAGAAAAGCAAGAGCGGTTAGAACTGAGAAGAGGTAAAGTACATGATAAAAGTAGTGTTGTATACATATTATGTTATTAGTCTGAAAAATGAATACCAGATAATAAATAGGCAGCAAACTGATTGAGGTTAGGTATTGAGAATGAGCTTTCACTGGCACTCCATCTGTTGACCTTGTATCATGTCCACACTATCAAATTTTATGTGAAAAATAAAAGTGATGTGCCCATGTTTGGGTGTATTTATGACATCATCATTATCACACAAATTTGTCATTTAAAATTTAATAGTGTTGACAGAGCATAGTAAACTTCTTAAGCCTCATTAAAAGAAATTTTTATTTTCTGACCATTAAGTTATATAATCTGTCATTTGCATACATAGCGATGACAATGTATTTCTCACATAAAACATTGATTGTGTGGACAGACCTTTAGGCTCAAATTGAGTCTTAACTTATTGGGCCTTGTGTTTCAGTTTGTAAGTAGTCTGAAATAATATGAATTAATTTGTTATTTTCACCACAGGTATGGAGACAGATTCGTATGATAGTGGTTGGGATGAGCTTGCTCAAGAGACTGTTGAATTTTTTGTCAGCGAAGAAATCATTGAAGTCGACGATTCTGAGTAATCCCGTTGGGTTTATCTACTTTTGATTTTCGCGATCATATTTTGAGAGTGAATATCTAACACGTTTCGAGCCTGTAGGTTGGTGGTGCATTTGAACCAATATTTCTGACTAATATAGTCTTTGAAGACCAGAAAACGACTTAATTGGTGGTAGGTAATTAGTGTCGTTGGATACTAATTAACTTGTCATTTGGAGTCTCATTTTATCATAACTTATCTAAGATATTTGAGTATTGTCTTATACAAATTGAAGTGTTCTATCAGTGGTGTAATTTCCTTTTGAATATAAATTTGAATACGTAATTACTTAGTATTTTGTGTGATACTGCATTCCAATAAAGGCCCAGGGATTTGATTCAGGAGAAACAGAAATTCTAATTGTGATCTTGAAAAGATTTGATATAAAGGATTACCAAGAAATCCTTAAACCCCCACTTTAGTGCTCAATTATGGTTTTGAGAAAGACTGTTAAAGGGGCATTAACAAACTGTTCATATACCTCACACAGACATTATCTTGTATATGGGATATTCTGGAAAAGACGGCGTAAAAAGAAGCAATTGAACTTTCCTTGCTTTTATAAATGTAATGCAGTATTTAGTCCGATTTATTCATACATTAATGTAGTTGTTGATTTATTAATTTATCATTCTCCATTTACGATATGATAATAAATTAAATCATAATAGTCATAGATGTGTCTTTTGTCGCTGTGTTTTTTAGGACTCGCTTTCATTTTGGTTGTGAATTACATTGCATTCTCACTTAATTTCAAAAGATAAACATTCAATAATAATAATAATACCGAAAAACCAATGAAGCCCATCTCGAATTAAAGCCCCCTCTTTAGTTTGCAAAATTAGCCTCGGAAAAAAAGCCCATGGGCACTCCATGATACACTGTACATGAATTTCAAAAAACAAAATAAATTAAAAACAAGCTTGTTTTATACAGTAGTTGCTGCGAAGCAGCCAATTCATTTTCTTGACAGCAACTTAACCTCTGAAAGGTCATTGTTTGTCAAAAAACAAGGGCCTAAGACGACTGAAATGCGGAATTTCCTTCTTTCGTTCTGCCGGGTAAAATCAATTACTTTAGGCGACGTTTGTAGACTAACCAACACGTACCAACGTCCGCATGTCGCGCTAGCCTTATCCTACTCTCGGGCCTAGACTAGCTAGGATGGTATTATAGGCCTAGCCTTGAAGGGACGAAGGTCCCAATGAAAAACGTCGCTCCTTGAGAGCTAACATTGTCTATTTAACATCGCAATAATTCATTATTAGACCTATAGTTGTTTTTTGAATTGTACTCCACAAATCTCCACCGATACCTCGCACAACTCGAGTAAACGTCTCGTATCTATTGTCGTGACGTCATGGCTCGCTGGCTCACACTTGCGATGTCTCGCACTTGTGATCAAATAACACGCTGGCTCGCACTTTGGCAACACTCTTTGGCAGTCAACTCGCCCATAGCTAGAAAACCAGCCCTTGGAAACTTGCCCCATAAAAAATGTACACTTCCTAGTCCATGCAGTCTTCAAAATAAAAATTGTAACCTTTGGTAATCAACTACATTTTCCACATACATAGAAACTTTATTAAAAAAAACCTAAACCATAATTCACCACTATAGACACTTTTTGACAAAAATGAAAAATTACGACTTTGTTACCCAATGAGAAGTGTTCTAATATAGAAATGGGTCGTGTCTCATTATTTGTTATATTTTTATTATTCATTATTTTCACTTGACTCGCATAAATAATTTTTGTTATATGCAGTTGTACTTCGCAGCACTTCACTTGCAATTTCTAGTTTAGATGATTTAATGCCAGTTAAATCCACTTTAAGATACAGATTGATGTTACAGTGGCCTTATTTATTGTTTTATAGGATAAATTCACAAAATGTACAGCATTAATTTTGAAAAGAAGCCCCCCCCCCCCACTCTTTACTTTGCAAAAGGAGCCTCAAAAAGAAGCCCATCTCCAAAAGAAACCCATCCAAAGTTTGCAATAAAAATAAGCCCTGGGCTTCTATTTGAGGTTTTACAGTAGTAGGACTGTATAGCAGGTCAAGCACTTGGTGATTGAGCTGTGTGTTTGGTGTTTGAGCTCTTTGAGTTTGTTATTGTAATATTGTATGAATATATCGATTAATGTATCCCTATAAAACTAAACCTAAGCTATACCTTGAACAATATGAGATACTGAAATTTTATATGAAGTATTATAAAGTTTCAAACTCTATAACAATTCTTTGGGAATTGACTGGATTTTGTCATCAATTGATACAGAATGAGAGAGATGGATTAGACCACTTAATGTCTTCATTTAGTGAATGAATACATAATGTAGTTACATTTATCATTACTTGCAATAATATAAAATTCATTCATTATATTTTCATTCAAGCCCTCATTAATCCTTCTAGGTCTTAAAAACGTCTCCCCATCTTGCCACTGCTAGATGGGGAGACGATATATCATAACAGCATACTGGACACGAATCATAGCATTATTTAATATTTAATCTGTATAACTATGTTATATGTAGGCCTACATGAAATCTGTGCCCCTCATTTAAAAAAATCTGGATCTTCTGAAAAATGTATATTGCAGTTCTACATGACAGAATTTAAGCATTAAAAACCACAAATACTGACAGTGGACGAAGTGCACTTTATTCCCATAACCATTGAAAAACATACAGTACATAAAAAAATACAATATTTGTGACATTACGCAACTGATATACAAATTAGCAGTACTATAAAAAGATTCTAAATTAGTACATCATTTACACCACAATAGATTCTTTGTTTATATATATAAGTATTATAATACAATTCTATATATATACCTTGAATAAATAATTTTATTCAGGTCAATATACATGAACATGACATTCTGGATTAATATGTATGCCTTGAATAAATAATTTTGTTCAGGTTATATCTTAAAAATACATAAACATAACACAGGGGCAGATGTAAAGGGGGGACCCTTATATATATATATTTATAATTATATAAAATAAATTATTATATATAATTTAACAGTGTTAACGGCTATCTTGATTTATATATATATATATATATATATGTATTTTGAGTAAATAATTCTATTCAGACCATGTCTTAATAAAATGAATATACATGAACATAACATTCTTTATGAATATACATTTTTGATAATATAAGCTATACTTAAAATAACAGACCTTTCCAAAATGTCAATCTAACTCACAGGTGAGCAAATGCGGTCAGTAATTTTTTTTGTGGCCCACGAAAATGAATTAAAAACCCAATGGGTGCGGCCTGCCAACCATCCAACCAATTATTTGTAAGACATGCTGAGCAAGAACCCTTTAAAAAATAGTCTATGAAGGTATTTGGAAGCGCACCGGAAACATTAAAGTTTGGGTGTGAACCTTGGTGTTAAATCAAAAATTGACGTTGGCCCTCTGACCCATTTTTATGCTCACCCCTGATCTGACTTAACAACTGACCATTCAGAACAGAACAAGGGATACACACTTGTCCAACAAAAGTGTTTTCCCACAAACACATATGTTGGAGTACGTTAACGCTGTTGATATGGAACATTAGCAAAATTATCAAATTCACATTTGAGGCATGCCATATTGTCGCTATATGTTGAACTGAGTAATTAGAAAAAGAATTTGGCAGTATTGTAAACTTTACAATGGCGTAAGGACGAGTCATGGGTCCCCCATGTCAGTAAAATCACCGTTGCGGCGCATATTCAAGAGCGGCGACTAGTGAAAAAAAAAATCATGATTGGTGCGGCGCTTAATCAAGAGTGTAATTTTTTGTGCATTGATACTGGTTTTGAGAAGGCATGCCTCAACTGGTTTTTTATCAAACACCCTGCATACCCTTTTAACTACCTTATGGTCCACCACTGATATATTCTGGCAAAATCTGAAAAAATATCTCTTAGAATTCAATTTCAATTGAACAAAAAAACATTTCAAATTTATTGTAAAAAGAAATTGAATTGTTATGAACTTATAATGAAACTGGTCAAAGCAAGTTAACTTGATTTAAATTTAAGTGCCTATGAAAAAACTATAGAAATGGCATTCTTAATGCAAATGTTGATTATCTTGGACAGTATATTACTCTCAATGGGAGTTCAAGGTTCTTAAGAGCAGCACCTGACAAAACATATTAATATAAAATTACATTAAAATAAAAACAATTGACGGTTTTTTTTTCTTCATTGGCCGATCTAATTCCTACCTTACTCATCTAAGTTCCCATGAGATTTGAAATCCTAACACTGTTCATGTAGTTTATTTCCTTACAATGTATAGAAATTCAATTTTTTTCTCATGTTGCCTCACCTGTTCCTCTGTGGTCTTCATTTTTATCAAAGTGAATTTCTTTCAGATGAATTTTAATTAGCGTAAAGTCTATTTTAAATGAGTTTCAATCGGTTATATTGATTTTTATTTTTTTTCAAATTGTTGATATTTTAATATTGTCTTAAACTTTAAAATTGTAAATAATCATTTTTAAATTTTAGCTAAGTTTATTCTTTTTAATTGTGGATACCATTTTCATATTGTTATTCATTTTGGCAATTGAATGTTTCGTTTGCAGGATCCCAATGGAAATACGTTTCTTTGAAACCTTTATGGGCTATTCCTTACTTTCAGAGTTTTCAATAGTATTTGTTTTTTTTTCCTTGTATCATATTCATTGTTTTTGTATTTTACTCTGATTGCTAAATAAATTCAATTCAATACATGTTCTTCCCTTCCCTTACCCACTTGTCCCTTTTTAATAAAATATTACAACTCATTTTATGCACTTAGATAGTCATGCTGTGTAGCCCAAACTGAATAAGTGTAATGGATATATTGACTGTAAAAATATATTACTTTAACTACTAGGCTATATAAAAAACATATTTAAGGTGAAATAATGTAATATATATATACAAGTACCATATAATATAAACTAAGGCACCATTATTCTTGCCTTGCAATGCTGTTTAACTAATTCTTCCCCACTCAACTAAGTCCCCCTGTAATTTGTCCACCTATTACTATCTCTATACTTCGCTTCTAAATCCCGGCACCCACTCAAGTTTAAGTAGACTGTCATTGTAATCAAAGATTTATCAAAGTTAAGGAATTGTGTTGGTTGCCCAAGCATTTTGTTGGGGCATTAGAAATATTTTTGATGTCTGAGTCAGTTGGGTTGTATTTATTTTTTTGTCCCCTTCTCTATTCAGCAAATAAGGAATATTTTATTTACTTTTTGCATATTTTTTTTGATGTGTTTATTTGTTTGTTGTTTTCTTTTGTTTTTATAAAGTGTCTACCCTTATCATGATCAACATTGTTCTACCCTATATATGATGTACCTTGTCTTTTTTATAATGTGCAATGTTCTGAACCATTGGCAGACTGAACTTTTTTTACAAAGCGGAAATATTGCAGTACTATATTTTAAAACAGTTTGAAGCCAAGTTGCAATGAATGAGCTGCTTACCATTTACAGTAGTTTGGTATGGAATTGAGTACTGTAGCTGTAAAAAGGTATCTGTTGATACATTGCTTTTGCCCAGAAGATAAATCTATGACATGCACAATTTCCAAAGCAAATAATACTTAAGCTACAAAAACTAGGTTGTACAGTAACTTTCTTCTCCCCTAAGGCCATTTTTGTTTTTTTTCGCTGTGGAAATGGGGCAACAAATTTTCCGATAAACTTTCATATGAGAATCATATAATTTATCGGAAAAAGCTCTGAATGAGAAAATAAATTAGGTTGACCAATTTCAAATCATGGCAATGCAAAGAATTCTTTTGGGTAGTTAGTTTCTAAGGCAACTAGTAGATGGTAGGGCTAGGGCCCTGCTGAGTATCAAATACTTCATAATAAAAAATGATTACATTTTTTGTAGTTACTATATATATAAAAAGCCTAAAAAGGCTGCGCTCGACATCGACGATGCCTGGCTGGACCTAAGTCTATCCCTCCCTATTGTACTGTAAAGCACATTAAACAAATCTGGCATTCTTTTTCATCTTCTTTTCAATCCCTATAGTACAATGAAACATCACTGTGACAGTACATTTCCAGAGTGAAATAGTACCATACGATTTTGTTCTTGGCCTAGGCCTATCCATCTCGCTCAAAAAAATGGTCACCTTCTAGGTCAATAAAACAGATGTTTTGGTGTTAAAAAACATTGCATTGTTGTCCATAATATTGCATAATGCGATAAAATATTTGGAGGGAATTTATTGGAGATATTATCGGAGAAATTGTAAGTGCTGTGGAAACACGGTGTAGGGTCACTTCATGTCTGAGCTACCCGGTAAACTGGTACCAGCTACTTGTCTGTCCACAGTAGGGGCTGTATGGGCCAGTACACCCCGTAATCGTCTCAGAAGATACTGGGTTCTTTAAAGTGCACATGAGCTAATTATTAATTATGTACACTGTGTCTACGGTTTATAGTCCTTATTCGAGAGGACTTGTTTCACCCAGAAACAAAGGCAAGAGTGCCGCTTGGATATTATGACTACAGGTCTCGACCATTTGACTCACCCGGTGAGCTATAAAATTAGCTCAGCATTTAACCTGCTGTATAGTGAAAGACAGTGTAAAAGAGCTAAGCAAAACTGCTGTTTCTACTTAAGTGTGGTAGGCCTCATGGCATATAAACATTACATTACTTATCTAACCATAATTAATTATAATGACTGTATAAATAATAACATTACTTCATTAACATTACAAATTCAATATAAAAATATGTGTCCACATTTGAAATAGAATTTACAAGAATCACACACCTGCTGTATAGTGAAAGACAGTGTAAAACAGCTAAGCAAAACTGCTGTTTCTACTCAAGTGTGGTAGGTCTCATGGCATATAAACATTACATTAATTATCTAACCACAATTATTTATAATGATAGTATAAATAAAATTACTTCATTAACATTAAAAATTCTATATAAAAAATATCTTTCCACATTTGAAATTGAATTTACAAGAATCACACACCACATAGTTCATTAAAAGCTTACAATACATGGAATGTATCGTCATTAACCTTGTCTTCATAAATTAGAGTGTGTTGCTTCGATCAAATAGAATTTCTACCTCATCATCAACATATTCATATACTTTAAGAGAAGTCATTTCAATGCCATTTTCTTTACCTCCAACTGGTACTTCCCACGTTCTTTCATTATCATTACTTTTACCATACCGAAAACTGAGAATAGTATTTTCTCCCAGTAGACCGTCTATGTCAGTTTGCCTTTCAAGCATCCCAGTCCCAATATCCCAGTCTAAATCAGCACTGTTTGCATCGCTAAATACCTGAGCATCCTCCTCCCCTGAATCCTGAGCCACCAACTTGTATGCGATCCCTTCAATCTCTGCTATGTGTTCTGGTAGTGATTTGTTCAATGTTTCAGGAAGAAAGAAGTCAAGAAATCCAGTAAGAAAGCATGCGGCACCATACATCACATACATTGCCGCATTTCCCTGGAAAGCGTGAGGAGAGGAAGGAAAGATGGACAATTTTGAATTCAAGAAATTGTAACATAATACAAAACTGTAAAATTACTTATTTCATAGTTATTATTTTTACCACTACATGTTTATAATAAATTATAATAAAGGCATATTAATAATGGCAATGCGGGGGTGTTTAGTATGCACTGGTGTGTAGGGGTATGGAGGTACAGGGGGCATGTGGCGCAACGTGCAAAGCGTTGGACTTCTGATCGTGTGATCTGGAGTTTCAGATGCTCGTCACATTTCTTGTGTCAGGCAAGATTCTGTACTTACCTACGTTTGCCTCTCTCCTAAGAGTACAAGTGGGTACCTGGTAAGTTTGAACAAAACTGCACTGATTACTAGATGCAATATTATGGAATTCTCCCCAGGGAGCTGAGTGTGTGTTCCATACGTGTTTGATCCAATGGCCGGGTGATTATGTGAAGCGCTTAGAGGCTTTAAACCGGTTTTCCTCTAGACGAATTTAATCATGCGAATCGGAAATTTGTACCTATATGCCTGCAAATTTCAGAATCTTGTGTGATGAAAATTAAACTGCGCATGCGTATAGGCTAAAATTTTCGATTCGCACAAATAAATTCGCCTAGCGGAAAACCAGCTTTAGGCATCAAGCGCTTCTGGAGACCGACATATTATTATTATTATTATTATTATTAGTTTTACGGTACCTGAGCACCCCCTCCTATTTGTTTAAATGTGAAAAAGTAATAAAAAACTAAGGAGAAAAAAATAGCTAAGTAAGCTCCTAGATGTTAAAATCAATTTATAGTGTAATCATAGCCATATTCTCTGTCCCTTGTTTTGTGCCAAAAAGCTCATTGGACAATATTTCCATTAACACCACCCTTTTCAAAATGCCACTGTGATATGTGCCTTTTATATTGATTATACTGCTATCACTTACCATTGTATCAAGTTCTGGAGCAATTATGCCACCAATCCTGGCAACCATGGAACAGGTGCCCATACCACTATTCCTGCAAACACATAAAGCTCTGTTCAGACTACCAAATTTTCTTTGACAAAAAACTGATGTATGCCCATTTGTCATGATGTGCCTATTATATGGTCATGGTGTCATGACCATATTTAGGCATGTCACATGTTTTCAAACAAAATTTGATAGTCTGGACAGGCTACAAAATTTGATTTGACAAAAAACTGATGTATGCCCATATATAGTCATGATGTGCCTATATATGGTCATGATGTTAATGGTTAATGGTTTTAATTTACAGTTAAGCTTGCCTAAGTCGACCTTGCGTAAAATAATTTTCTAAGTCGATTTTACATGGCAAATTGTTGTGTCTTTTTATTAATTAACAATCTGTAAGTCAAATTTTATCTAAATCTAAAAAGTCGAACAATATTTCAATGGCATTTTGGATTTGACTTAGGCAAGTTCAACTGTATATAGCGCAAAATACAAAAAGTCTCTATATGCGCTGTGATTGTGATGTCATCAAGACCATATTTAGGCATGTCATACTTTGTTTATCTTTAGAAATCAGAAAAAAGAATGATCATAATAATAGTAAAATAATAACATATTTTATAATTTTCACCTTATGAACATTATTTCCTTCAAATTTTTAAATTTTTGTTCACATCCAACAGAAAGTGTAAATCTAACTTAAAAACTGACAAATCAAAACATGATATTTAATATGTGGGGCCAGTAAATATGTGGTTTAGGACAGCGTCCTAATACGATTACAGGCACCAAACCGCGGCCCAGAAGCCCAGCCGCGCCAGGGACGTCTTTGTTATTTTTTTTTTCAATTTCGAGGCGGCTTCGCGGCCTTCCAAAAATGTTTTTACGGGCCCAAATTTGGGCCGCAGACCATAGTTTGTAGAACGTCGGCTTAGGAAGTGCAGTTGTTAAAAAATGAATTTTGCTTAATTTGAACCAAAAACTTTAGAATTGAAAGGCTATAGCACGACAACATGGTTTGAGCTCTTACCGTACAACCGTTGGTATCAGCTCAACGGAATAAACATATATAGCAGTAAATGCACTTGATATTCCAAATTTACCAATCATTGCAAACACTGTCCTTGTCAGTGCCACCTTTTTATTGTCATCTACAAAAAAAAAAAAAAAAAAAAGGAAGTAAATAAAGATATATTCAGTTAAGAACTGAACCACTTTGGAAATCAGTAATGTATTAAAAGAAAGAATAACTAAATAATAAATAAATATTGTGTATAAAAAAACAAAGACAGAATATATATCATTTAATTTTGCATACCACAGAATTTACAGTACACTGGTGGATCCACTCCACGGCAGCATCCAAAGAATCTCTACCAAGTACATACTCATTTAAGAGATTAAAATGGCCAAAGGAATTTTGAGCTTCCACGACGCATGGGCCCCTGGACCCACCACAGATAAGGGAACACCTTGACCATTCTCCTCAGGCCATAGGTACCGTCCCTTGCAGAGGCAGATTCAGAGATGTCCTTAAGGGGGGTGAGGAGAAATTTTGTTTTCTAGACAACAAGAAATAACCTTTGAGGCATTTTAAAAGATCAATAATTTCTTCTTCTTTCTTTTTTTTTTTTTTTCTGTTTTTTTTAACTGTCCAAAAAGGTGCTCTCTTTTCCACCCTCCCCCCACCCCTGCCTTGGACTGTATGTCTTTGATTACATGCTCCACCCAGAAGAAAAAGCTCTTAGGCTCTGTCCTACACTACCAAATTTTACTACTACTCTAGTAATAAAATATGTCCATATATAGTCATGATGTATGCCCATATACAGTCAGAATGCAAAATAAATCAATTCAAATCAAATATATTGCCATGATGATGTGATGTCATCATGACCATATAGGCATATCACATGTTTTTGTCAAATAAAATTTGATAGACTGGACAGGGCTTTAGATACACTGGGCAGACACACTATCAGATTTTTGTCTGTCAGACTCAAAACTGTGTGATCAGATTTTGTATGACATGTAATCAAACAAGTAATGGCTTTCCATGCTTGACAATGCTCAACTTCAAGAAAGTCTAATGAAATATTTTCTGAAAGGCTAAAAATCACATAGAGGTTAAGCCTCAATAGATTTTAGGGGGTGTGAAGATGAAGTGGGGGGGGGGTGTTCGATGATCAGTTGAGGGGTTGCTAATTAACAAAATATGGTGATTTTCAACTACTTGACTGTGGTTTTTGGGGGGGCACAAGTAATTTGTTTTTGGGGGGTGCGCCCTGCACCCTCCCCTAAACACGCCACTGGTTGTTTTTAGTCATAAAACTAAATCTTAGAATTTGCAGGATTTGAGCCTAGTACCCTGATATTTAAAGGCGAGCACCTAACCCACCAAACGACAACTTTTTGTGCGCACATTACATGCTATTTTTCACAGTCAAAGGAAGAACATTGTTCACAAAAATATGACTTTAAGACTTTTTGTGAAGATTGATAGATGTTTATAAATGCAAGGTGTCAAGGTGCAAGGTTTAAGGTGTTAAAGGTGTCTCTTACCATCAGGCTGAATTATTAACAGGCCAACGCATCCAAATCCACCCAGAAAATAGGAAAGCAACATGCATGGCTTACGCCCCCACCTCAAGAAAACATAAATAAATACACCATCAATGCTATAATCTTGAAATATACATCAATAAATCACACCTTTATATAGTGTAAAAGGTAAATATTAAATAAGCTTGCCTTTGCCAACACCTATTTCAATATCTTTGTCAAAGTCATTAAGTGAAGTGCATTAACAATAACGTTCTCAAGGATAGCAGTTTACATGTATTAAAGTAAAATGGATGTCTCTACTACATACATAAATTTGTTATAAACTTTGAAACTTGTGCTTGTGAGCATATATTTCATTTCATTTTCGTTTCATTTATTTTGCCAAAACTTGAAAATACAAAAGGACAAAAGAACAAGACAATACCCTTGTCAGTGACAGGATAACCAAAAAGCAAACTTAATATTATGCTGTCAACAGTGTTTTCCTCCGACAAGGGTATAAGAATAACATTCAAAATATCAAATATAAAAATACAGTATATAGTACTAAGTAGATATTTTGTAAAATATAATCTCCTTTATATTATTGTTGTATAGGCTGCTATTAACTAGTTTTTGGAATAAAGAGAATAAATGAATGAATTTTTATTATCTTCATCATTTACTATTCATTAAATTATTTTAGGTGTGCAGTATTCTGCAAGGCAAAATGTATACAAAATTGAATTACTCCTATTATGTATACACAAAATAATGAAATAATGATTTTGAGCTAACATTATACAGGCAGCAACAAGCACCACCAATTAATTAAAATAACAACCAACCTTCGCATCAACACGTAGGCGAAATAATTTGCTGGAATTTCAATGAGGCCAGAAACAGCAAAGCTGACGTAAGGGTTGCCGCCAAGGGTGGCTGACGATAGGGACATCCCATAATACACCATGCTGCATGTAAACCTGTGTCATAAATTACAAGTGGATTACATAATGCAATAAATTAAAATTACTAATTTTTGATTGATAATTAAAATTTTGTAGATTTTTGATTGATTATAATTAATCCCACCTATTTTTCTAGTCTTTTTAATGCAATAAATTATTATCTTGTTTTTAATTATTCTTCATTTTTAATTTTTTTTAAATTTTTATCTATTTGTAAAGAGGTCCTAATATAGATTGAATAATATGACAACTAAATTATATTTTTGATAAATAAAATTAATCTCATATTTTTTTTAATGTCTATATAATATACATTTTTATTTTTATCTTTTTAATATAAAACTATTTTTTCATAATTGTTCTGACAATCAAATTTGCATTGATTTTTTATTATTTGTATATTTTTATTTTTCTAAATGACTATTTAATGCTTTAAACTAAATTTTGACAAATTTGATATTCCATTTTAATCTTATTTTTTATTGAGTTATCATGCTTTGTTTTTTCTTTGTACATAAATTATTGATTGATAATACATATATTTTAAATTGTATAATAATACTCTCTGTATTGCTTTTGTGATTGTTGCATGTTTAAACGTGAGGGCGCCATGATCATCAGCATACCGCTGTTTTGGGTCACCCTCGGTAAATAAAGTTAAATAAAATAAAAAATAAATAAATGACAACAAAAGTCCTGTCAAAACCAGGAATTTTTTCTCACAAATATGTCCTTTACTACCTAAAGATCTGTCCACACAAGTAAACTCTATGTGACAAAGATATGACATATATGGGCACATCACACAAATTTGTCACATACATTTTGATAGTGTGGACAGAGCTTAAGCCTCAAATATTTGCTAAGTTTACAGAGCATAATCTCGTCCCCTAAGTGGCACTTTTCTTGTTGTTCAATGAGAAAAAAAGTAAAATCAATTAAGATTACATATTCATACCAATTGATCCATTGAATTAAAATTCTCTTGCGCATGACCTTCGTACGTACAAGGTCAAAGACAGAATTCTGTGTCTTTTTTGTTTCACTAACAAGTTTTAAAGAAATAGATGATTTCTCAATTTTTTTCCCATTCGTCTTTCCAATACGATATAGGATACTCTCTGCCTGCGAGAGTTGACCATTTGAAGCAAGCCATCGTGGAGATTCTGGGATGAGGCTAAAATTTAAGAAAACAAATATTAATTCATAATCAGTAATATATTTCTTACTCATCCAGTATCAAAATAAACTTTATTTATTTTAATTGCAGGGGTCCCAAGTTTCTCAGAAATCGTGGGTGTCTCTCTAAAATCGGGATGGCCTTCCGCACTCAAGTGAGAGTCTCACGGAAAATAACTCATTTCCCTCAAATCCATAATATTTGCGTGTTATTACTACTTTATTATCAATTATCCAACACAGATAGAAGGAAAACAAAAGCGGCAATCTGCATCATAAAAGGGGACCTGGTCGCATCCTTGTTTAATCATTTTAAACAAAGTTCAACTTACCAAATATTGCTAAGACATATTAGTACAGGTGCCATTGAGACTACTGTTAATAAACGCCAGTTGTAGATTAAGTATGCAAACAATGCATAAACCTAGAAATAAATTAAAACTTTATTTATCATTGAACCGTTACATGAAGGAGAAATAGTCAATACAATGTTCAACAAGTTTTAACCAAAAACTATTATTTGACAAAAACATGTGACATGCCTAAATACGGTCATGATAACATCACATCATGACCATATATAGGCACATCATGACTATATATGGGCATACAACAGTTTTTTGTGAAAGAAAATTTGAAAATCTGGACAGAGCTTTATGTTTGATATGTTATCATTATTCAAAACAGGATATACAATTAGTTCCTTGTCTGAAATTTTTGTAAATATCAGAAGTAGGGCTTTTTTAGATGGCCGTTGTTCTATAATGCATCATATAGTCATGATGCATTCTTTTTTATATTAATGAAATGTTTAATAACATGATAACTTTTAATTATTCATATTTTATAATAGTAAATCAGTCTAACATGCAATTAAGTTACACTGATTTTGAGCATACTGCACATGACCTTTATACAAATGAATCCATACTATTATTTCATATACAGGTAGGAATATACATGTGACAATAAGTTAGTAGCAGTGTTCTCAAGAGAATTAATATGAATTTAAAATATACTAAACAACAATAGCATTAAGAACTATAATTATAACAGTAACACTAATGGTACCTGTTTGAATATTCACACTCGGTTTTTGTATATGGATTAGAAATTGTATCTATAAGTACTAATAATAATAGTAACATCAATAATAGTATTACTATTATCTTTTTGTGTGTTTTATGTTGTATGTACTATGTGGTATTATTATAAATAATATTAATAAATAATAGTGAAATACTTACAGCAAATCCGACAGAAAATGCCGAATTAAAAATGAAACCAATAGCTTCACGACAATCTGGACCAATGACCTCAGTAAGTAGAACATAAGATACCACACCAGTTCCCCCTCCTAAATAACCACACAAAAACCTGAAAAGAAAATTACAAATCCTTATATTTAGAAAAAAAAAAGTGTAATAATTAATTAAATGTATCCATATAAAAGCATATAAATAGAAAAACAATTCTCCATAAATGTTATATCTTTCTCTATAGATTCTGATTGTTTATTAATTTAATACATCTTTAAGTTTTACATATTAAGTTAAATAAATACAAAATTACTCAGGAATAGCATGTGTTTACACTTTTTCTTACAGTAAAGATTTCAATAAGCAGTTTAACATCAAATATATTCCCACGAAACAATGTGATATGGCCATATTTGGGTGTAATATGATGTGAACATGCCCACATACAGTATAAGCATACCACACAAATTTTTCACATTCAATTTGAAAGTGTGGACAAATGTTTTTTGATTTGCACACAAGGGGAACAAAATGGAAATAACATACCGTAAAAGAAAAAGTTGCCAGACATCATGAATGGCACATACAGATGCAGAGACAATGACAAAGAGAATTATGCCAAATGACATCACCTTCTGCCTCCCAAACTTATCTGCTAGCACCCCCATGGTGAAGACCCCAACAAGAACACCCAAAAAGAATATGGATGTTCCATAGGTTACATACATCGACCTCTCACAGACAAGATCAAGCTGAAAAAATATTATTAAAATGATTATATTCAAAAATACATTGAAATATTTATAACATATTAAGTTATAATTATTATATTATTATTATTATTATAATCAAATACAAGATCACGCTGAAACAAATAAATTGTACTATTTACAACAAAAAAAGTTATTTTTATTATTAATCAAGTAATAATACAGGGATTCGGCGATGGGCGTCATGTGATGTAACTTGGGTGTTGGATATAAACAATCGATTGGCACAGCGGTGTTTTACATGGAGATCGCTAATGCGAATGTCCCTTGTTATTGCTGTAAAAATCATTATAATTCCCAGTAAACTATACCAATTGATTGGAAATTAAACTTGAGAATTTTGCCTTAATAGTTTGCTATTGCTGTAAAGATTACTGGCCGCAAACATTCAGATTTTTCAACAAATGTTAGGCCTAGGTCCCTACATATCTACGGCATGGTCATGTATGCATGATGGTCTTCGACCCGCGAACTACGCTGCAATGCTAGGGCGAGCTAAGGTTTATGAAGGATCACTTAAATTTCAAAGCATACAATCCTAGGAGAATGCTAGGACAAGCAAGTAAACACTATTTTGAACAAATATTGTATTGCCTTTCCCAGGCATTTATTTCTCACATTAAAAGGGGGTGGTTGTTTTCGCAACCACAACATTTTTTTTCCCTATGCTATCGCACTGTAATGTTTTTCATGTACACTATATCCAACTTATGTCACATGACCGCCTGTAAACAAACATTGCCGAATCCCTCTATTATAATACTATATTAAACAACTGTTCATAATATTTATAAAGAACAGAACAAATATATTTAAAAAAATTTGTTAAATATATTTTCAACAGTATCTTATACAAATGCTGATCAGTAGAATTGTAGTGAACATACAGTTCATTGTTTGCCTTCCAATCCTATTGTTTGCCTTGTAATCTCAAGTATCTCTTGTGAATCTGAATCTGAAAATTAACTCCACTTCCTAAGCCTTACATACTTGGTACTGTATACAAAGCATTTAAATCATCCTTTTAGTGGTAAGTCACTCATTGTTGGATAAAATTAAATAGTTACAAAAATATTTGTTTAATAATCAACAGCTGCTCAGTTTTTACATTTTGACAACTATTTGTTATACAATGAGAGGAAATCTATGATATAAGCTAACAATATCAAGAAATATTATTGTTAGTCCATCCAAGGGCATATATGCCTAAATTATAGGCAGATGTAGAAATTTATTGTAACAAGCTGAATTCTCAGGATTGTTCATTGAATACGAAGAGAATAACATATTGAAAGTTCCAGAAAATGCCACTTGAGCTATCCGCATAATTCAGATGGTGTCTAAAATGGCTGCTTTTTTGTAATTACTATAATTTTAATTGTTCTCATAACTTCGCAATCAAACAAGCTCGAAGCGCATATGAAATATCTAAACATGTTTTAATAATTTATAGTATACTTTTTGATGATCTGTGACTTACAAAAAATTAAAACAAAAGAATGTGGAGCAAAAGCCGGGCACACTCCATGGTTGTTGGCCAACATGATTTCATGGAGAAAGCAATGAGACGTGTAGTGCAAGAGATTAGTCACAATCCACTCACTCTGCCACCGACAATTAGCAGACGGCGGATATGGATTCATCAGCCAACAGTTCTGCAACCGTTGCATGACATAGTGTGTGCTTGGCTTTAATGTTTACTTACATCCGCAACCATTGATGAAAACTCTGAAAGGTTGAAAATATGATTGCAAGGCACATCCAAATCACAGATTTCAGTTTTTGTTAAATTTTCAAAGCCCTCGCAAGTAAACTGTGGCTCACGGGCCGCAAAAACATGGTTGAAGGTCACAGAAGCTGCCCAGACAGACATCCAGCTAACAAGGAAAGTGTACAGTTTTTGTGCTTTTCCAAAGGTCCCTACTTTTTGCAAAACTGCATCAAAATCCATTATAATAGCACAACCACATTTGTTGTTTCTGTAGAAATCAAAGCACAATGTGAATCAAGACACTTTTCAAAAACATATTGAGTGAGGCAATTTTCTTATTTTGATGTACAGAAGTAGTAGTACTGTTAGGCTGTTATCACTATGTATACCATAAATGGTCGAATAAGTGCCACGGCGCTAATAACATTTTTGGAAGCTTCAACGCGGCTCATTGAGAGTGGCGTTTAGCGAAAAAAATCAGGTTTGGTGTGGAGTTTATTTGAGTGGCACTTATTTGAGAATGGCGCTTATTTGAGCATTATTTACAATAGGTCTACAATAACAATAGTCTGGTTCTGCTGTCAACAATGGTTGTTGATATACACTGTACAGTACAGATACATACTAATTAGCGTCAACAGTTGTTGATGCTAAGTTGTATTATACCCGTCTTTTGTATGACGACTGTATATCTCAATTTGAGATTGTTGCAGTAGTTGACAGATGCCGAAATTATTATAGTAGGTCTAGGCCTATAGGCCTACTACTACGGGTGCAGGTCAACTCGGCCACAAGTCAACTCGGCCACAGTCAACTCGGCCACAAGTCAACTCGGCCACAAGTCAACTCGGCCACAAGTCAACAATTAGTAATAATAATAATAATGATACTTATAATACCAGGCCTACTTAGTAATAATAGGGTAATAATATCGATAATAAAGGTGACAGCAACAACAATAATATTAATAATTATATGAGAAAAATACTAATAAAATGCCAATAACAACAACTTTTTAAATTACTATTATTAAAATTATAATACTAAAACTAATAAATAATAATAATATGAATAATAATAAAAAATCGAAAATTATTTATTATTTATATGGTACTATAAATATATGTACTACAG